TGCCCGGCCAACGGGGCCCGGCCTGGAGGAGCGGCTCTTCCCGCAGGTGCGGGACCACTTCAGCTTCGAGACCTGTGGCAACGAGACCTTCCCGCAGCGGTACCTGGTCTCAGGTAGGTCCCGGTGGGTGTGCTCTGCCCGAGCTGTCCCAGCCTCGGCACGGCCGCAGCAGGGCCCTGCAATGGCTCAGGGCTGAATTTCCACCAGCTTAAGCTTTAACTGCTCCGGCCCTGAGGCTCTGAGAGCCCCTCTGCTTGGTGCTCAGCAGCCAGGGGTCAGCCTGAGCTGCCTGCCAGCCCTTCGTGAGCCCCAGCATTGGCTGTGTCTGCCTCTCCTTCCCTGCAATTTGTCATTCTGGCCATGTGGGGTGTGGGTGTGTGGGTTGGCCTCTCTAGAGCAAGAGCAGACAGATGCAGCAGCTGCATTAGGCTTTCACCAGGGCTGGCTCCGTGTATGTGTGTCTTCACCATAGAAAGAATAGACTAGAGTAGATGATTTCAGTTGGAAGGGACCTACAACGATCATCCAACTGCCTGACCAATTCAGGGCTGACCAAGTTAAAGCATGTTGTTAAGGGCATTGTCCAAATGCCTTTTAAACACTGACAGGCTTGGGGCATCGACCGCCTCTCTAGGAAGCCTGTTCCAGGGTTTGGCCACCCTCTTGGTATAGAAATGCTTCCTCATGGCCAGTCTAAACCTTCCTTGATGCAGCTTTGAACCATTCCCATGCATCCTGTCACTGGATCCCAGGGAGCAGAGCTCAGCACCTCCATCTCCACGTCCCCTCCTCAGGAAGCCGTAAGGAGCAATGAGGTTGCCCCTCAGCCTCCTCTTCTCCAAACCAGACAAGCCCATAGTCCTCAGCCACTCCCCAGAGAACGTGCCTTCCAGCCCTGTCATCAGCTTGGGTGCCCTCCTCTGGATGCATTTGAGGACTTTCACATCCTTCTTAAATGGTGGGGCCCAGCACTGCACACAGTGCTCCAGGTGAGGCCGCACCAACACTGAATACAGCAGGACGATCCCTCTTGACCAGCTTGGTCGTGTTGAGTTTGATGCACCCCAGATGGGGTTTGTCCCCTTGGCTGCCAGGGCTCACTGCATTGAGGCTGCTGCCCACCAGCACCCCCAGGTCCCTGTCTGCAGGGCTGCTCTCCAGCCACTCCTCTCCCAGTTCATACTTGTGCACAGCATCTCGTACAACTGCGGCTCAGTGCTCTGAATGCAGCAGGAAAAGCAAATAGGGACCCAAACATTGCACTCTACCCGTCGTTCTTATGAGTGTAGGTCATTCTTATGAATGAAGGTGACTCCTCTTGGGTCAGTGTTTTGCATTATTTAAACCCCTGCAACTTTAGATGACTTAAGTCATGCTGAACAGTGAGGGCTTCCAGTAAGGAGCCAGTAGAGTCTTCCTTTTTAGCCAAATAATGAGTTATCTTCTGTGCAAGAGGCAGTAAGAGAGAGGATGCTTTTCTAAACGTGACTAAAAGGCAGAAATTCCAATAACCAGCGTCACGTGTCTTTCAATCCTGCCTGGAGGAACCAGGGAGAGAGCAAACGTGGAGCAGTGAATAGCACCAGCCCAGGGGGCTGCCCAGCCTGGTGCCTGCCCGCATCTGGGGCTTCGTATACAGCATTTCGCCTTCTTCACGTCACCCGTTACCCTGCAGCTTGTTCAGCACCTCCACCCGGTCAAATACATTTCACCAAGCACAAATTAATGGATTGGTTCAGCCCAAAGATATGGGAACACCAGTGAATTTTGATAGCACACCCAAGGCTGAAATTTCACTAATTAAATGGCTCTTTTGAACAGAATTTTGGGGTTGTCTGGCTTAAAGCATTGCATAACTTTTATTTGTTTTCTTTTTAAAGTGTTGTGTTCTATCTGTGTGTCCTGGGCAGAGCTGAATAGTACTCGTGAGAAAAGGAACATTAGCATTGCAGTTCTGTGGGTTTAGCAATAGCTTCTCACTCAAAGCTCCTGTGAGTGGCTCCTTTCCCCTCTGCTGCTGCTTGTGCAATACGAGACTTTCCAGATTATCAGCAAGAACTTGAAGGGGACTATTATTTCACAACAAGACATCTGACTGTCTGGAGGTTAACTGGCAGTTCTCCAGGATTTCAATCTAAAAACAGAAACCTTTTCAAGCAACCTGTCTGGGTTGGTTTTGGCTCCTGTGAATGGTTGTTTCCTCCGGGAGCCACGAGGCATGTCAGAAGACAAGCTGGAGTGAAAATGACACTTCTGTTTCCTGCCTGATACCCAAACCAAATGCAACTCAGAGAGAGAAGCAGCCTCTTTGTTAACAAAAAGCAGCAGTTTCGCTAGTGAAATGTTTCAAACCTATTTCCAAACGAAATCCTGCTTTGGCATGTCTGTGTCGAGAACACCAAGAATTAAATTCAGGCCTCTCTTAATGGAGACAGTTCGTGTGACATGCTGCAGCAGCACCCGTACGACAACCGCTGTTGGAGGGTGCCCTTGGGTGATGTGGCAATGGGTTGAAATCAACGCTTAACTGATGGTCTGTGGTATGTTCTTGAGGAAAGCTGTTTATTATCCCTCTTAATTCCTGTGTGATTTAAGACTATACTAAAATCAAATGTTTGTTAAAGTCAGCAAGCATTAAAGCAACTCTTTGTTAGATAAGCAAGTATTGACATCATGGGTCAGCTTGTCCTGCAAGTCTCAGTTTGCCTTCAGTACTAAACAGATCAGAGGGTGAAGCACCTCATCTTCATACATATATGATATATCATATGGGAGATACATACGTGCGTGTGTTACATATATAACGTATATCAGCATAGCAGCAGCAGCATCTCCTGGGCTGCATCCCCAGCAGCGTTGCCAGTGGGGCGAGGGGGGGGATTATGCCCCACTCAGGTGAGACCCCCAGAGACCTGCATCCAGCTCAGGGATCCCCAGTGCAGGACAGACAGGGACCTGCTGGAGTGGGGCCAGAGGAGGCCACGGAGATGGTCAGGGGGCTGGAGCCCCTCTGCTGTGGGGATGGGCTGGGACAGTTGGGGCTGTTCATCCTGGAGAAGAGACAACTCCAGGGACACCTCATTGCAGCCTTTCAATATATAAAGGGAGCTGATAAGAAAGATGGGGACAGACTTTTTACCAGGGCCTGCAGTGACAGGAGGAGGGGCAAGGGGTTTAAACTGCAAGATGGTGGATTTGGACTGGACCTAAGGAAGAAATGTTTTATGGCAGGGGTGCTGAGGCAATGGCACAGGTTGCCCAGAGAAGCTGTGGATGCCCCATCCCTGGAGGCATTCAAGGCTAGGCTGGACGGGGCTTTGACCGAGCTGATCTGGTGGAAGATGCCCCTGCCTGTGGCAGGGGGGTGGACTGGATAAGCTCTGAAGGTCCCTTCCAACCCACACCATTCCATGGCGTGTGATTTACAGCTTGGCTCTACATTACACATCACAGCAGGAGCAGCAGAAAGGTGCAGGTGATTCCCTAACATCCATTTTGTGGGAAAAGTGATCTGTGCAAGTGTTTTGGGATGAACTGGGCTGAAAAGGGGATATAAATGGGAACTTGCTCTTTTGGGGGGCAGCTGTTTCCAAACCCCTTGCAGAACTGAGATTTTAGGGATTTCCAGGCAGAAGTACAAGTACCACGCCATGTGCTGATCTCATGGAAGCTCTTATTTACCCCCGCTCAAATGAGAGATTTCTTTAGCCTGGCCTTCCTAACATCTTTATTCCCCAGCTTGGGTCTCAGGAATCAGCCCAGTCACAGAATTCTTCCTTGTTAAGCTCCTGCCCAAACTCACCAAAAGTAGAGTCATTTCATGCTCATGTTTTTTTGTTTATCTGGGGATTTTTTTATTTGCTTCTGTCATTTGTCTCACTCAGCAAAGTTCTGGAAGAAAGGATTTGGACCCATCTTTTTCTACACTGGCAATGAAGGTGACATCTGGACTTTTGCTCAGAACTCTGACTTCATATTTGAATTAGCACAGGAACAGCAAGCACTTGTGATTTTTGCTGAGCACGTGAGTTTTTCAGTCATTATGCATACTATAGAGTCTTGTTCTGTTCAGAATTACCAAATTCAGCTTTCTGCACATCCAGAAAAATAATACCATCTCTTGCCATGAAGCTGAGGTGTACCTGCTGTAAGCTTTCTCCCCATGGTAGCAGCTCTTCTTTACTTAACCATGGCCTCTGAATTTTTTTTACTATGCCTACTGTCAGTCCAGGATACAAACTACTGGTTCAGTAAAACCTGGGTCATGGGATGTTTGCTTTAGCCCAGTGCTTTTGTAAGTAGTTTCCACAGGCCTTGAATGCCATGCTGGACTAGAATTACTCTGTTTGGATAATATTTAATCTCTCTAGCCTGTGAAGTCCCAGGCCAACCTTTCTATTCCACAATTTATGCATGAAGAGATTGCCTATTCCCTTTCCTAATTGGGGATTTCAGGAGAGAGCCACATGCTGAAGGCCCGCTTGACATCCACTAAAGTAGCTTGTCATGGACTGTCTGTCCTCTACAGGACATGTCCTGAAGGTCTCTGGTTATCAGATGCGGGAGACAAGGCACTTCCTCAGTTACAAACAGGTCGGAGGACACCACTTGCTCAGTTATCGCTTCCCATTTGTGCACACTTATCCCAGTTCTATCATGAGAACACCCAGACCTTGACACTGGCCTTCCCTCAGCATTTCTCTTTCCTTTCAGAGGTACTACGGGAAGTCTCTTCCATTTGGACTTGAGTCAACACAGCTGAAGAAGACTGGTCTGCTTACCGTGGAACAAGCCCTCGCTGACTATGCGGTGCTAATTACTGAGCTTAAGCAGCAGTACGGAGCTGCAGACTGCCCTGTCATTGCTTTTGGAGGCAGGTAAAAATCCTGTGTGCTTCTTCCCTTCTCTGCATCCCTTCCCAGCCACAGTCGCTGTTCTTATGGGTCTGTTTGGCTCCCAAGCAAGTTCTAAAGGCAGAGCTTTAAGGTATCCGACAGAGGGCAGATGTGCCTGTGCCTGAGCTCCCAAGAGCTCGTCACCAGGTCCCAGTCAGGTCTCCCACCAAGAATGAGTCTCCATTTGTGATTGCTTTGGAGGAGCGCTACTGACTGGATGTTTCTAGGCATCTTCAATGTACAAGTCAGGCAGAACTGCAGAAAATTCCTCCTGCAGGATGAGAACATTTTACATTGGAAATACAGAAAACTGACAGTTGGTAAAATATTGCTTCCAGGGGCCACCCAGCCTTTTGTTAAACACAGCCTCTTTAACAACATCCGGCCACTTTCATTGTGGGCTCCCTCGTAATTCTGCTCTGCAACCTGCTGCTTGGTTGCTCCTCACTTCCTAGCAGAAGTCCTTCCCCAAAGTGCTTGCTGTATTGATGTGATGTCCTTGTCTCTTGGATGGCTCCCCACGCTTGTAGTAGGGGGACACTTCCTGTTAAAAGGCTTCCACCAAGTACAGGGCTTCTAGTTCAGTTGCAGTGAGCTAAAAAGCATTTGACCTGACAGTTATTAAGCTTCCAGCTCCCTGTGGTGGTGGCTGGACCGTGGCTCTCAGGGCTGTTTGTACTGTGACTATCAGGACAGTAGCAAGTGTGAAAAGGGCCAGGAGCTGTCCTGAGCTGGGGAGGTGCGAGGGGGCCTCGGCAAGGCCTGCCAGCTGGGCTGCACGTTGGACTGCAAGCTCCGTGTGCGTAAATGGGAGTTCAGGCTGCAGCAGCCCTGAGCAGCACTGAGCCCACGTGAAGGGTGCTGAAATACGGCAGTGCTGGAGCAGCACAGCGTTTCCTGTGGGAGGAAAAAAACAAAACAAGTCTTCTGTTGCTTACAAATTTGCCAAACTTTTACCTGAAATGAGTTGGGGCAGGTTTCAGCTAATGCCTGTTTCCAAGACCAGAGAAATGCATACTGCTTTTCATGTGGGTGACGTGGGAATGGTATTTACTTCAACCATGTGAGCTTGTTGCGGATGGAGTGAGAGGGAGGCAAAAATAATGTGGTTTATTAGTGTAAAACAGTGAGTTAACAAAGGTCAGTGATAAATGTGACAATAGTTTATAAGATTCGCTGGCAAGGTACACTTTGTTATTTACTGCACAGAGGACAGGGTCAGACAAGACTGTCAGGGAGACCCTCCCATTGAGTCATGAGGTTCAGAAAAGATCCCCTTGCTTTCTAAACTCCCTCAGAGAAGAGTCTAGGTGTGGCTGGATCCAATCCTAGTCCCAGGTCAACGGTTTATGTCTAAAGGATTATATATGCGCAATTAATCCTTTATGTCACTTAGCTAAGATTTCCAAGTTAGCATGCTGTTAGTCACTTACCAAGAATCTGTTGTGGTAAGGAATCTCTCAACCTCGAGGAGTAACCTTGAGAGGCGTCCCTGCTCAAGGGGAGATCCTGGCGTGCAGCCTGCTGCCATGCAGGAGAGCTCAAAGGGCTCTTGGGCTGCTCACTATTTATGGGGGTAAGATAATTGGCTCATAGTCATATTTGCATACTGACCACTGTGCTTAGGTGGGCACATTCCACAACAGCCCTTGGCTATTGCATTGTTATCTGTCTCCCCCCACACCCAGTGGGTGCATCCTTCACGACCAGACACAGACCAGATGCATCTATCACCACCACCACAGGTGGTTATCACTTGAAAGAGGTCAAAGGAGGGGGAGTCAGAGATGAGGGGGGAGCACACCGCCACAGAGGTGGTGGGGAGAGAGGTTTGGATACCGGTAAGCCTGAAGTTAGACCAGGGGTTACCTGCGTTTTGGGAATGTCATTTGCCACCCCCAGGAGCGACCTCAGAGTGACTCCACAAACATCGGCATACGAATAACTTCGATCACCTCAGATTTATCTAGCAACCCTTGAGATATCTGCAGATTGTGGCCCTGGCACTGAAGCTACCAAGGTGGCTTTGAGTTTCATTGTGTATTTGTTAATGTCTCCCCTCCCCTATATTGATATCATGTACCCAGCTGTTGTTTGGGGAGCCTGGGGAGAATGCTCCCCCTTTCCCCCTCTAGTGCTCTAGAGAGGGCTGCATGCTCTGTGCTGCTCAGGGACAGCCTTTGCTAGGAGCCTAGCTGTCCTTTATAATCCTGCAAGCAAAACGTGTCTCCTCCCCGCACGGAACAGCAACAGCATCACTTGAGCCCCACTTGGTTCCGCACTGAAGCTGTCAGGGCACACTCAGGGTGGTGCAGAGTTAAATATTGAGGCAGGATTTACATTCGGCTGCAGAAGCGAACTGGGCTGTGTTCCCACTGGAGTTGGTGTGAGTGTATTGGGGAAAGGCCAGCAAGAACACATTGAGTGCTGCTCATTGACTAGAACTGGATCCTTTTACGTGAGGATGGCATCTGCTAGATACCCCCAAGCTTCTTGTTGCCTTGGGTTAGGTGAGCCTGTGAGTGCTGGCCTGAGCTTTGGAGTTGTTATGTTGTAAGGTATCCGGTGAGGGAAATAACTCTTTTGTCTCTCCTGTGGCAGCTACGGCGGAATGCTGAGCGCTTACATGAGGATGAAATACCCAAACCTTGTGGCCGGAGCATTAGCTGCCAGTGCTCCTCTGTTGTCTGTGTCTGGGCTTGGAGACCCCTCCCAGTTCTTCAGAGATGTGACAGCAGTAAGTAGCGCCTCTTTTCAGGAGCATTATTTTTTTCCTTTAAGAAGGCTGGATTTTTTTCCTTTTCCATGTGTGACATCTGTCTTTACAGCATCAGTGCTGGGCAGGGAATGCAATTAAATGGGAACCCACAAGGAAAAGCAGCAGCTACAGATGTGATGACTGAGCACAGCTCAGGGCCTGAAGGTGCTGCTCTGACGAACAGCACAACTCAGTTCCGCACCTTTAGGGTACCACTGAGGATTGACTTTCCCATTTCTAGTGACTTGACCATATTACAGCCTGAAAGTTTTCCTTTGTGCCTGGTTGAAGCCCCTTTGGATAATGTATTCTTCACACCCTCTCCCAAAATGCTGTGTTTTGCATTGATATCAATGATTCACAGCAGTCCCAAGGTGATTGCATTTCAATGAAGAGCTTGGAAATCCTCATTTCACTAACTAAAAATAGACAAGGTGTCCTGGGTTCACCTAAACCCAAAATGTAAATGTGGCTTTTGCATGCTGAGGACGTAGGACCTGTAGGAAGGTGGCATTGCTTAGAACTGACTTGCATTTAGTGTATAAGGAAAGAAATGTACTACCTGGTAGCACTGAAACCTGTGATGGCTTTGCCTCTTTCAACATGGATTTCTAGATCTGGGTGACGCAGGTGGCTTGGCCTGAGCTACCTCTGTATGAAACTTGTGGTCCTTCTGCTCTTATTTATGTACATGAAAACTTTACTTCAGTGTAGAGACTTACAGGAGAGACAGCGTTACCAGTGAGTGTAAAGAAGAGACTAAATAAAGAAGATACGAAAATAAACACAATGGCGTTTCAAACTCTAAGTATATAAAAGAATAAAACACATCTTAAAATTATGCATTTTAAAATAAAGAACATAGTACCGCTCAGTCATCTAACAGGCCCTGGGGTGGGAATTCTTCCCTGGTTGAAGCCAATTCCTTCTCGGATGCCCTGTTCAGCTGATGGCTCTGCCTTGTTTCAGCTGTGAATATGCTGCCAGTCATTGCACACCCTTGAAATGAGGGCTTTGACCTTTTCAGGGGAAAAAACTTTCCAATTAATTTTAAAATATATTCTCCCTGCAGCACTAAGCTGAACTCTGGGCTGAGATCCTAAGCGAGCACTCTATGTTGTTTTCAAAGCAATTCCTTCCACCTTCAGCATGTTTGCATGAAAGCAATCTGTGCATCTGAACCCTGAATTCAGTTGCTCTTCTCGGTGAGAGAACACCCCTGAGAGCTGTTCATGCTAATGAAGGCACAGAGATGTGATGAGTCATTGCGGGAACGCTCTTCCCCCCTGCATCAGAGTGCGTTGTCTCGAAGCAGCTTTCTCTGTGACTTTTGCTGAGCCTTTCCAGCTCAATTCATAAACCGCCAGCTCACAGGGGAAGTGAGCAAAGAATTAGGAATAAAAGAAAGGTCCCAAATCATGAGGCTGGGTCTGTGTAAGAAAAATTCTTAGCTAGTGATTAGTGGTTACTTAACTGCTTCCCTAGCAGGGTAAAGGGGCCTTAAAGAGCCCCAAGAACTCTGACTGTGACAGAGCTCTGGTTGCCAGCGGATCTCCAGCTGCCTTCAAGCTGACAGAAGTGAATCGGTTTGGGTTGCTGCAGCTTTCAGTGATGGGAACAACTTCTTCCACCAGCACAACCAGCCACAGCTCTTCCAACATACCTTAAAGGGCTTTGTCAGGATCAGTAATGTTTTTCCCAAGAAAAAGGACATGGCCTTCTTGGTCATTGCCAGGTCACTGGCAGGCTTAAGAAGAAAAGCAGGTCTTGGTTCCCAGAGCAGTGCTCTGACCTCCATTCATAACTGACTTCTCCATGGCTCCTTCTCATAGACAAAGTGCAGTCAGAAGGACTCTGTTGCATGTTTAAAAAAGAACCAAAGAACTTTTGGGCCTAGCAGCCTGGCACCCTCTTCCCATGTCCTGGCCAAGGCACGTGTCTCCTCTGGCTGCTTCCTGCTCAGTCTAACGGCTCCACTAAGTGCAATGTGTTTTGTCCACCAGCTCGTCCCAGCCAGACCTGGTGGAACAGTTGCGGCCTGGCCTGAGCTGTGCAGACTGTTGGCTTCTGCTGGGATGTGCTGATTGTCCGGGGGACAAGGCAGAAGCACTGGTGTCACCGCTCTTGGAGATGCAGACGAGGTTCTGACAGTGGGACAGTAACCCCTGTCATCTCCTGGTACTTCTGGCAGCTCTTCCCAGTGCAGCCTGCACACGTATCTCCTCTGTGCATCTGTAATCCCGAGTCTTTTCTGTCCCTTCAGGATTTTCAGAAGTCCAGCCCAGGCTGTGTCCCAGCTGTCCGCAAAGCCTTCCAGCAGATTAAGGACTTGTGCCTGAGCAGAGGTAAGGAGACAGCCCCGCTGACGGCTTCCCAGGTGTGGCCAGCGCCACGTGGTCCCAGCCACGTGGAAAACGTTGATTCAGTTTTGCTTCAGCTAGGTCTTGAATTGCTTCAGCGAAATCAATGCAAATGGCCACCGGGCTGCCTCTTTCGGCTTCAAAAGTTGATTTTTGATTTAATGAACAGTTTCAGTTAGCATTAAAATTAGTAACCGACACCAAAACAAAGGCATCTGTGTGGGGGCTTGCACAGTGTTCACGAAACTGTCTTTTCTGCCCCAAAGTGCAGAAACACCTGCAGGTGCAAAACACCTGCATTTCATGTTGGTAGAGCCTCATGTTTCACCCGATGCTTGTCCTCAACACCCATGCTGTTGAGAACTGTTCTGGTGGGTATGACAACTGCTCAGTGAGCTCAGCTCACTGGACATATCTGAGAAACATCTGGAAGGCAATCTAGGTCTTGAAACAGCCATCACCGGCTCTTTCATCTCCAGCCCTGGATAATCAGGCGAAGCCAAGGACAGAGACTGGTGAAGATCTATGCAGTGTCTCCCAGATGGGCCAGAGCAGATACCATGGGCTGATGCAGCGGCTCCTGGGAGCCCTGCGTGGTGTCAGGGGAGCTGCAGTGGGTTCTTGGTCTGTCTCAGGGCTTGGCTGGGTCTGTGGTGCTGCATGTCGAGGGCTGTGTGCCTCCAACGCCAGCTGCCGCTGCCTCGCTGCAGGAGCTGGTCCTGGAATTTCCCAGAGGAGCCAGGGGTCCAAAACCCTATCGGCTTTGGGTCACAGCAGGAAAAATGTTGCTGTTAAATAACCAAGGCCTTCGAGGTGTGCCTGTGGTTACGCTTTCTGCAGTGGGGTGGATAAGGACGTCATACGTAAGGCTTAGGCTCTCAAGTGAGTATCCAGAGGCAGGTCCCAAGCCTTGGGTTTCCAGGTACAGACAGCTGGGCTCCAGTTGGGCAGCTTGTAGGGTACAACGGGGACAGACAGGAACTATGACTTCAAAATGCGGAGGGTGAAAATGAAGGCAGCAGCTTTCCCCAGCAGAAATGCAAAGGTGTATGAGTGCATCTTGAAGGAATCTCTTCAGAAGTGGATTTCCGGACTCTGGCTGACCGCTCTGCAACATGCTGGAGTTTGAAGGCACATCTCAGGAGTTCTTTGTGAGCACTGCTCTCACTTGGCAATGCCAATGTTACTGCACGTGCACCCAGCTCCTGAGGAGCGCTTTTTTTCCCCTGCCAGTTCCTCCAGCTGCTGAATCCCACTGGGACCTGTATGCCGTACCCTGTTCTTGAGAGCTTGCCTGGGGAGGCTGCCCTGGGGGCACAGCAGACCCCAGGGAGGGAGCCTGTGGGGGCAAGGAGGATGCAGCAGGCAGGGCACTGGTGAGGGCGGGCTTGTGCTGAGCTGCTCTTCTCACTGGGCCAGCCGGGACTGCTTCTGTCTCAGTGGGCTCCCCAGGGAGGTGTCAGGGGCCATGCAAGGGGCAGGGTGGAGGCTGTGGGCCCGGTGGGGTTGTGAAGCCGCACAGGAGGGCAGTGCCTGAACATCCGCTGGTGTGTAAACTTAGATACGATGTGTCCCTCCCCCTAGAAACCTCATCCATGTGTTACAGCATCTCCTTACTCCTGAGTGAAACAAGACGCTTAAGCCTGGTATTATTTTCCTCTGTTGAAGCCTGTGCCTTTCATTTTCCTTCCTTCTGCAGCCTATGATGAAATCAGCAGCAAAATGGGCACATGCAGCAAGATCTCCAACAAGGGGGATGTTTACCAGCTTTTTGGGTTTGCTAGAAATGCCTTCACCATGATGGCCATGATGGACTACCCTTACAAAACCGATTTCATGGGTCACCTCCCTGCCCATCCCGTGAAGGTGAGCACCGGGACGTGGGTGAGAGTCGTGGGTTCTGACAGGCACCTCGGTGAGCAGAGCACAGGGGCTGCACAGCCTGGGACACTGTCAGGCACACGCCATCAGTGGTGGTGACGGGGAGGTAGTGGCCGATGTTGCAGCCACTCTGACAAGTAAATCTGCACGTTAAACTTCTCCGTGGTAGCGACTGCTGTTTGAAATGCACCGCCATGCAGCTTGTCGGGGAGGGTTTGCTGGAGCCACTCCTACCCTGCTCTGCCTCTACCTCAGACACAAAGGCCTGTGCAAGCTTGTTGGCTTCAGCTCTTAAACACTAAAAACTTGTAGGTTTAAAAAAAAACCACAGTTTTGTTGCAGTCCACTTCAACACACCTTCATAGGTGTATTTTTCTTGGCGGGTAGGGATGGAGATCTAAAAATCAAGCTCCTTCCTAAGCATCACCCAGGAAGATGACATACCTGGGAGTGTAACGCAGAGATTAGTCTGCTGCTGCAGACTGGAAAACCTGGAAACTTCAATGGTGGTCAGAGATGGTTGAAGTGTGGGAAAGGGGCCTGGTTACAAAGACTTCTTAGACACCAGCTGCTTTCGAAAGGTCCCGGCTTTGATCCCAGATCACCAGTTGCTGGTGCAATTCTTGGTTTCTTCTGGTGAGCTACGAGGCTGGTGCTGCTGCTCTCTGCTGCGCTCCAGCATGCCGCGCCGACAGGGCTTCGTTTGCCTTTGCCTCTGTGGCATTTACGGTTTGAGTCCTTCCTGGAGCAAAATGCACACTGCAAGGGGTCACACAGGCTGCGCTGGGCGGGGACTCAGGAGATACCGTCTCTGGCTCCACCCAGTTCCCTTCTAGGGCCTGTTTAGCAACCTGTGAAATGGAAATAATCATTCTACCCCACCTTGAGAGGGGCATCAAAATATTCTGCCCATAGGAAGAAGGGACCGTTGTATATCACTGTGGCCTCTGTACAGCTGCTTAATGCAGTAAAGGGACTTTGTCCTAGCCCTGTCCCCTTGTTTCTATGTATTTTGTGGCTGGAAGGAAGGAAAAAAAAAACCAAACCTGTTGTATTAGGCCCTTGGAAAGCTGCAAAATGTGAAAGTGATAATGTTAACAAATCTTCCAACTTAGCCGTTTGCGGAGCAGAGGCTGGTAACTACCCTGATGGCAATTTGCCTGTAATGTGTCTCATCCAGGTTGGCTGTGACCAGATCCTTGCCCACACAGACCCAATTCAAGGCCTGGCTGCTCTTGTTGGTGAGTTAACAGTATCGGTTTGGTCTTCTATTTAACACCCTGTTTTCTGGAAGCACCTGTAAGTAGAGCTGTCGCGTTGTTGTGCGGGTTGTGCATGACTCCGACCTCCCACTGGGATGTTTTGCCCTGTACTGGCTTTGTCCATTGGGATGTCCCGTGGTGGCCCATGGGTTCATTCTCTCCCCTTTCCAAACTTACCCCTGTCAGTTTTTTCAGCCATTGTAGCCCCTTAGCCTGGTGACCCTCCATGAGATGTGGACTTTTAGTGTGCTTGGTTCATTTCTAAAAGTTTGCCCATTCTCTGGCTCAAGCAGTCACAGGTTCAATGCACGTTCACTGAAGGAAGTTTTCTTGTCTGTTTGTTGAGGACAAGATTGTCATCACAGTGCCCTGCGGTCTTAATCCAGTGGCAAGACAGTCTGAAACACACCCTGTATATTTGTCTCTGGGAGTACTTAATTTGTCAGCCAGCAGCATTGTAAGGTAATTATTAGAGATAGAATTCAAAGCTCTTTTGAAGACTTCCTCATAAAATCTCTCAAGCTGCTCATTAAAAATAAATTCCACATTGGTCATTATTCAGAAGAACAGGTTCTGAATGACAAAAAATTGATTTAAGGAATTATGGGTTTGATGCAGCTCAGTAGGATTGGGAACTCAGTCTTTTTTTTTTTGCAAGTTCTGCCTGTCACCGTGATAGCACCAAGTCAGAAATGCACCAGTTCCCAACCACTGCTAAAGAAAGGTGTTTGGCTGGCAACTAGAAGAGTTGTTAGAACACTAATGCCTTGGCAAGCGCTGTCAGACCTGCTTGACATATCCGCATCCTACTCCTTTTCTGAGGCAGGGTGGGACTCGTGTTTCTTCGTGATGAACGAGCTGAGGGCAGATGCCTTCCTCCTGCCCATGGGGGAGCACTTTGGGCCTCTCCCCATCTCACCAGCTGCAATCACTTGGGACAGTCTAATCATGCAGGAGGCGTGATCCACCAGAGCTTTAGGCAGGGGACTGGCTTTCCTCCAAACCTGCCCCTCTGTGTCATACAGGAAAACGCTGTCCTCTTTCTGGATGAGCCGCAGTGACCCACCTCCTGCCAGGCAGAGCATAGAGCCCTGGGCTGCAATGCTGAACTGGCAGCAGCTGAATGGGGAAAGCGTTAGCGTCGTCCACTGATTGCTTACAGGACAGTAATACTCTGTCTCGCTGACGTGAACCCACTCCTCCACCTGCAAAGAACCAGACCAACACTCACCCATCGTATCACGCCCCAAGTGGGCCTCACTGCCGCATCAGGCTCTCTTGGTGCATGATAAAGGAAACCAGTGGCTCAACATCTATTTGAATACCACGGGGCTCAAGCTGCCAGATTTTTGACCCACATTTAGCAATCGGAGCCTCAAAAAAACCTGAATAAAACACCAGAATGGCATGGCTGGAAAGGAGCTTTGTGCTGCTTGGAAAACCAGAGGAGTGAGCTGAGCAAGGTGCTACAGGGATCTGCTGGGACTGGCACAGCCCTGGGCCTGTCTGCTGTCCGGCCATTTGACACATGACAAAGAAGTCAAGGGCTGTATTGAGTTGAGTTGTGGACAATAACTGAGTTTGTGTCATCTGGAGGAATCTGATGTCAGCCTTGATGTGCAGTGTCCCTTTACAGGTTTCTGTCCCTTCCTCAGTGAGAAGTTAAGCGCTCTAAGACTTCCTGCAAAAGAAACCAAACCCATCACGGTAAAACGGGGCCAGGCCCTGAGTCTTTATGCTTCCAAATGGGAATTGCTGAGTGATCTCTGAAAACTCAGTTCTCTCAGCTTCAGGGCAAGGGATTCTCTTAAAGTGAGCCTCTCAGTCCCTGTCCAGGTCCCAGGAGCCTGGGCAGTGTTTTCCCTCCTCTTCCAGAGATGGGAAACCCAGGTTTGAAGGGACTGCATTTGCATTCCAGAACTTGAGGCCATCTTCCCTCAAACCTAGGCTGGTGTCCTCACCGCAGTCCATTCCTCTTCCCATCTGCCACTGTTTCGCCCCTTCTCAGCTCAGAAGGGGAGGATCGGGTGGGCAGTGTGTTTGAGGCAGGTACGGGACCAGTTTTACACCAAGGTTTTCCTGTGTTAGCAGGTGGCACCTCCACCCTATCTTTTCTCTAGGAAAAAAAGTGCTTTAAGCAGCCTTTGGACTCTAGCAAATAGCGTGACAACAGGGCAGCTTCTAACACACACGACTGCAGAGTCAGCATCTCCATAGGCTATCGGCCTGACCCACAGCTGTGCCAGGCTCCTAAGAGGCTGGAGATAACGGGTTACTGGTCAGCCTGTTGGAGTAAACAGTCAGGGCCCAGCAGTACAGAGACCCCATCTTGGATCAGTTTGGGGATTATAAGAGCAAATGAACTTACTCCTTTCAGTGTCCTTCCCCCAATGCAGAAGAGCCTGTCCCTGACAGCAGCCATCCCGTGGTCGCAGCGGGGAAAAGCCATGGCACTGTTGCCAACCCAGCGTCGCAGGCGAGGGAGGTAGCTGTACATGTCTCGTAAGGTTTTGCCCCCAGAGAAGCCCCCTAGAAGGAAAGCAGAAGTCTTAAAAATCATCCATCACCGCCTCTGATGTCCAACAAACCTTCTGCAAACATCAGCAGAGCTGATTTTTTTTCTTTAAGATACCTAAGAAGCTCAGGTTTAAAATCATTCTGCAGAGCTGATGAGGTGTGACATTTAAAACCTGAGCTTCTTGGGTATTTTAAAGAGAGAAAAAAAACAAACCAAACCAACCAGTTCCAGCTCTTTCTGTGAATGGTTTTCCACAACAGATTTTTGAGTAAAGCTCTTGGGGTATTTCAGGTGTAACCAAGAACAGCTTTAACTAGGGATTCTGCTCCCACCATGCACGTAGCAGAATGGTTGGCTGAAAGAAAAGTGTTCAAAGCTCCTTGAACTTTGGATCTTCAGCAGCAGCTCAGAACCAACCTGCTGGGCTGTGGTCAGCTTTCCCTTTACTAGGCTCTCGCTCAGGTGCTTTGGGGGAGCATAATGGAAAGCTCCTTGCAGAGGGAGGTGCTGCTGTGGGAAGGGTGAAGGCCTCCAGCTGGCTGCCTGTTGAATGCCAGCCTGTAGGGAGTCTTTGCCAATGAGGAGGATGATGTTTCAGGTTGGCTGTAAGCCCCAGCTCACCTGGGCTTTGGTGCTTTCTGTGCGGGGACACTTTGTCTGTATGGAGCTTGTGTTTCAAACTGGTACCGAAATTATGCTCTTAACTTTTCAGTTTGCTTGGGCAGGGCTGTAGCATGGCCAAATCAAATCTGCCCTTGCCCCACTAGTTCAGAAGGAAATGAATGCTGCAGGTGGGTAAGATGTTGTACCCGAGGGCTATAGGTTATCCAGCCTGAATCACTGTGGTACGTCTGGAGCTCTGTGAGGCAATTTTGGCCTTGCTCTCTGGTAGGAATCGAGACCAGGAGGGGTTAAATGAGCTGCCTGTGGCACCATGGGCCAGCAGAGCCAAAGCAGGCACTTGCACCTGAGCCACGGCCGTTCCCCCAGCCAAACCAGAGCTCTTCCTTCCCAGGCATCTGCGCTGCCGGTGCTGGAGCCCCAGTCAGCAGGAGCGCATTGGGGTAGGATGGCCTGTGCAGGCCTCGGGGGTACCAACCGTCACAACCGCAGCTGAAGTTAATCTGGACTGGAGCAGTACAGTGATCCCAGCTGGCTGTGACTGGTTTAGGAAGGAGGGAGCCTACAGCGATGGCAGAGGAGCCCAGGACTTTTAACTGCAGAGGCAACACCACAAGCAACACAATGCTTTCCCTAGGACAAACCAAAGGTTATCTTCCAAGTCCAAATTAGTAGCTACAAAAGCTAAAGGTGCTACAACAGTTTCCTGAAGTGCAGCTTTAAACAGCCTGCACCTACCACTGAGCCCCAAAAAGGCTGAGGATCCCCTGCAGGGCAGGAGCGGTGCAGGCTCAGAGGGTAAGGGGAAGAGCCTGCATTAAACTTCTTTTTGCACAGATGAACAAAGCAGCGCAGCAGGGTTAGTCCTGCATCTTCCCTTCAGATTAATACCAGGGTATCCCACCCTGGTATTAACACTACGGCCGCCTGCCCCTGGTTTACCTTTTCAGACAGCAAAGCTTTGGGATTCAGCCAGGATTGCAAGGTCAGAGGTGAGCAGGGGTGTGGATTTGCAAGCAGGTGAGGTCACCTTTCATGTTTTGGAAAGAAAATAATGCTTGCCCTTCGGGAGAGCAGCGAGGCTGTGCTAGCACAGCAGGAAAGGGAGGCTGGAGCTGTGGGTGTTACTGGTGTGGGCTCAGGGTTAAACTGTGACATTAGGATGCCAGCAAAAATCATCGAAACTATGAAAATACGCTGCTTTCTACCAGCTCTGTCACCTGAGATATAGAGGATTCCCTCGTGGGTTGTGCCTGCATGATCAGCAACAGGCACAGGAAGAGGTGCTGTGAACTCCCATTTGTTGTCAGCGGGCTGGTACAGCTCCACGGTGCAGGTGAGGGTCCCCAGCAGCGTCCCACCACCCACGGCAAAGATGCGATCGGACAATACATCCGCATGGAAGCGTGTCCGCCTCTCCAGCATGCTGGCAACCTGGAGCCAGGAAGCATTGCGGGGATCAAATCGAAAAACCTAGGATCACAGCAGATGGGTGATGGTTAGCAGAGGGCGGGTGGCTGGCATGCGTCTCCTGTGGCTTCAAGATCTGGTAAACGTTTTCCCTGGGCTGAGGGAGGTTTTATATTCAGAACTGGACAGGCTCAACCAGCTGATACAACAGTACCTCCCTGTGCAGCAGGAGGCTCAGATTTGGGCCTTCCCAGGGGGGGTCTGGGAAGAGGCTGTGCGCTCAGCTTGCAGCAAGCAGGAGGTAAAACACGCTGGCTTGACGAAAAACCTTTGTTTCAAACACCAGCTAGCATGTCTCAGCTGAAAATCGTTTCAGTGAGTTTTAAGCAATCACATTTTGCATCCCGTTTGAGTGTGCAATAAAGAGAGCAGCTGAGCTTTGCCCACCTCTCTGGTCCAGGAGAGGGCTCGAGGGGCTTCCCCTCCCTGGTGCCTGCTGGCAGCACCACAGGGGCATAGCACCTCTGCTAAGGCTGGGCTTCCACTCACATCTTGTTCAGCAGCAAATACCTCCCCAGGCTTGTTTTGTCAGTCCTGGTTAGAAAGCCCAGGTCACTGAGCAAGTGCAGGATCTGCAGGACCAGGTGCAGCAAGCACCAGGCTTGGGCTGTAGCCCAGGAGCCAGGGCCCCAGGCCCTGCAGCTTCAGCATCCTCTGCCTGCTGCTGCTGCTTCAAGGCAGTGGGGAGAGCTGCTGTCTGCGGTGGCACTGCTGAGCTGAGTATAGTGCTGAAATAAGCCCCTGGAGGCACAAGAAAGGAAAACACGCTGGCTTTTCTAGCAAGCACACTGGAGCCAGCTAGGAAAACATAAAACCCTGCACAAGTGTTTTTCGTCTCCAGGCAGAAGGGGAAGGTCCTGGGAGCTAAAGCAGATTTCCCTTTCGCAGGCAAAACCAAGGAAGGCGCGGTTCTGAAGTGAAGCGGCAGGCTTTAACCGTGCCTCCCCAGTGCGAGTCCCGTGGTGGCAGCAGCGGGGACAGGGGTGATGTTCATGGAGTGCTTGATTGACTGATGTGGACCTGGCTGAGCCTGCGCTGGGGAAGGTGTGTACAGATGAGGATGGCAGCTTACAGTAGGAGCAAGGGCAGGCCCTCAACTGCTTCACAGTTTGGAAGCTGTACTCCCAAGGGCTTTCGGTACCACATGGAGCACTAAGACATGTAGAGGTGGAAGATCTGTGGTGGGCAGAGGAGTAAATCCCTCCCTCCCTCCCCCAGCTGTTTTTCCAAGGCTAAAGGTTTCTTGTATCTTACCTGATTTGATGGCTGCTTTCCTGTGGGATCAAATGTGCACTGTCCCCCAATGACAAAGAGGAAGTCATTGATGCTAGCGACACAGTGGTTGTACACTGGCACACAGAGGTCCCCGACCTTGTGCCAGGCACTGCAGCTCTGGTCTGCAGCCCACATCTCCCTGCACACGCAGTTGTCGGTGGTTCTGCCCCCGGCGACAAGCAGCACAGTGGGACCGGAGCGGAGGGTTGTGCTCTGGGTCTGCAGGACTGGCTGAGCATACAGCTGGGAGTGGTAATTCAGAGCCTCCTGCAGGTACCTATGGCAGCCTGAGTCCAGCCTCATAAGAGGCATTTCCTGGACATATCTCTGCAGATCCCTTAAGGGAATGAGAGGGAATCTTACACGCCTTAAAATATCTGCTGCGTCTTTCAGCCGTGTGCGGTCGTGCTGCAGCCAGCTCGCAGCGGCTCTGAGCAGCTCTAGCTCGCTGCATCCCTCGCTGTCAGTCCTGTCTAAAATTTCACACAGGGTTCCTCGGTCCAGGTCTTTTAAGCACTGAGGATCAGCCAGGATCTGTTTGCAATGCTGCCCTATGTAGCACATGGCTTTCTGGCTCAGCTCTGCTCGTCCAAGGTTTTTAGCAATGTTAAGAACATCCATGCAGGTCTCAGAGTTCAAGCACCCCTCCAGAAAGCGAAAGCAGAGCTTGATCACCTCACGAACCAGGAGGGTTTCTGCGGCTTTGAAGGTGTCCTCGATGTTCTCTAAGGAGAGGTCTAGTTTGTTGGAGTAAATGAAGTTGAGAACATTCCCCAGCCCGGCCGCACTGACAGCTTTCAGCTGGACGTTACCATCCGGGCTCCCTGCTCTTGTCAAGTTTCCGACAAACAGGATTTTGCAGTAATTACTTGCTGATGCTAAAACAATCTTGTGGGCTGGAAAACAAACACCTTCTGCCTCCAGTGTCACATCGCACAGTGCGCTCTGTGAGCGAAGGCTGCTGAGCCCTTCCAGGAGTTTCGCCAGGTAGGTGTCGGACACAAGCCGCGCTGCGCTGGCCTGCGAGCTGGGCAGCATTGCTCTGCTCCGAGAGGCGGCGTAGCCCCAGAGCTGACCCAGACTCCTCGCTGCGCACGCTCAGTATAGCTCCTGGGCAGCCTTCTGCAGCCGGGCCAGTGGTTTCGTGCTTCAAGGGAGCTGGGGCTGTGCTGCCCGCACCACAGAGCCACCCAAAAGGCAGCGGCTGTAGCAGGCTCCCTGCTCAGGGGCCTCTGCCCACAGCTTCGCCGTCACAGAGTGCCCTGTGCCTTGCAGAGCTGTGTGGGGCCATTTGCAGGTGGAGCTGCTGGTGCTGGTTATCACACAAAAGTCTGAGTGTTTGTGGGTTTTGCCCGTGGGCTGTGACACTGGCAGCAGACGACGGCC